CAGCTGCTGTATGAGATGGGTCTCATCAGCTCCATTTCAAAGATGAGAAAACTGAGGCTCAGAAAGCCCCAAATCAGGTGCTGCTGTTGCTGCCTCCTAACCTCCCCCAGATGAAAACTGTCCTTTCTCTGACATTTCCTGCTCAGAGCCTCACCCCAGTCACCTGTGGACTTGCACTTCGCCCAGGGAGGGACAGTCTTGTCTTTGTTGCCCTCCCCCCCGCCCCCCCCCCCACATTGCTTCCCTGTCGTCCACTTCCTGTCAGGCCCTGTTGTTAGCAGCTTGTAGCACCCATCACCTCTCCCCACCCTACCCACCCCCAGCCAGTCCCAGTTCTCCACCCAAATGTGGGGATTTGTGCTGCACTGTTTGCAGCCCCCACCACAAGCTGTGGGCAGGAAATCTCCACACTCGCCGCTAGCTTGCTGTGTGACCTTAAGCAAGTCACTGCATCTTGCTGGGCCTCCTCACCTCTCAAACAGCATGATCGGCCCAGGTGTCTTCAGAAGGCTCTTTCAAGGCTGATTCTAAAAGACAGCCCTGACTTATTCTTTCAGAGAGCAACCAAATGGCATTTATTTATTTATTTATTTATTTACTTACTTACTTACTTGCTTACTTAACGTATGTTTAATCTTTGTTTTCTCTTAAAATACCAAAGGACATTTACTCTTCCATCTTCTGATGTATGGCCAGGCACTCTTTGAGGAGGAGCATGCTGTTGGGAGTTTCTCCTCATTTGTCTTGCCCAAACCATTCCCCATAAAGTAGGCATTTATTTTTAAGCAAACATTTATTGCATGCCAGATGGTGTTCACACTATCTCATTTAACCCTCTCAACAGCCATGTGGCTCAGGCATTTATCATAGCAACAGTAGTTCATGTTTGCTGAGCACTTACAACATGCTAGGCTCTGGACTGGGCCGGCTGGTTTCCATGGGTCACCTCACTGAGTCTTCATAACTGCTCTCCAAAGAGCCACTCTCTCTCCCCTGCTTTCCACATGAGGAAATGGAGGTGCAGATGGGTTGAGGTCATGAGGCCAATGAGCAGTGGAGTGGGGGTTTGGCCACCAGCAAAACAAGTCCAGAGTGGTTGCTCTTAACTGTGAAGCTTTCCTGCATCCTGCAGTTTATCATCCCTGCTTTTCCCAATAAGGAAACAGAGGCCACGGAATGGAAGTACTTTTGTTCAGGGGGTGCCAGCCGAGAATGCAGCAAGAGGCCCTGAGCCCAACTGCTGAGCTTGGGCCTTGTCCAGCTCATGATATGGGTTGAGTCTTAGAGACACTAGCTGGAAGGGGATAGGAAGCCTAGTTGCCAAAGTCTGTTCTTCTTAACCAAGCGCCTCCCGCTACCCCCACCTGGGGGGGCTCTTGTGCCATCCTCAGCTACATCGTGCAGGACCTGATGGAGACGGACCTATACAAGTTGCTCAAAAGCCAGCAGCTGAGCAACGACCATGTTTGCTACTTCCTCTACCAGATCCTGCGAGGCCTCAAGTATATCCACTCAGCCAATGTGCTCCACCGGGATTTAAAGCCCTCTAACCTGCTCATCAACACCACCTGCGACCTTAAGGTCAGAGGCTTGGGTGCCTGTCCCCTCGTCCCATGGGTCTGGGGCTTCCAGGTGACCAGTAGACCCCTTGAGTAAACCATCACAAGCAAAGGGAACAGTGTGGGCAGAGGCAGGGTGATATGACCACGTGGGCCTTGGGCCTTGAGCACTGAGCTTAGCAGCCTTGGTTGGCTTCCAGATCTGCGATTTTGGCCTGGCCCGGATTGCCGATCCTGAGCATGACCACACTGGCTTCCTGACAGAATATGTGGCCACACGCTGGTACCGGGCTCCAGAAATCATGCTTAACTCTAAGGTATGGGGGACGGCCACCCACCCCTGAAGGGCAGGGGCCAGGTCTCAGAAAGCCCTGGAGCCACTTCGGAGCCAGGCATGACCCCCATGATGCAGGAAGTCTGCCTCCAGGCCTCTGCCCTGCTCCTCCCTGGCTGGTATTGAGCCTAGATTGGAGTAGTGGCTTGGCCCAGACAGCAGAGCCCTGTTGAGGCTGGTCCAGGAGCCCACTGCTTTTTCCTCCTCCCCAGGGCTACACCAAGTCCATCGACATCTGGTCTGTGGGCTGCATTCTGGCTGAGATGCTCTCCAACCGGCCCATCTTCCCTGGCAAGCACTACCTGGACCAGCTCAACCACATTCTAGGTGAGGGGGGCCTGGCCAGCCAAGTAGGAGGAGATTAGTGGGAGGTGAGATTTCTTGATGGTCAGGGTACCACCATGTGTGGAGCCCCTACAGCATCTCACAGTATTTCAGTGAGATACAGACACAATCCCTGTTCGATACATGGGAAGAGCAAGGCTACACTCCACACTTAGGAAGCATTCACATCAAGATTTGAATCTGTGGCTGCCCAAATCCAGACCCCTTGCCCTTCATCACCATAGTATTGGCTGGGAGATAACTGTCAGAGCTTGGAGCTCATTGGAGGGGACTCCTATTTGGGGTTCCTTCTGTTCCCAGGAGGGAGAGGAGAACTCTCAATGAGGCACCCACCTTACCCACAGGTATCCTAGGCTCCCCATCCCAGGAGGACTTGAACTGTATCATCAATATGAAGGCCCGAAACTACCTACAGTCTCTGCCCTCCAAGACCAAGGTGGCATGGGCCAAGCTTTTTCCCAAGTCAGACTCCAAAGGTGAGAGGGACATGGGGGCTGGTACAGGGTAAAAACTCAGTGCAGAGGAGGGTACATGAGCCAAGCAGCTGCCTAAGTAGACACTACCCTGGGCACGAGAAGCAAAGTGATGCTTCTGAGAGCTTCTCCAGCCTTTTTTTTGACCCTGACTCCTGCCCTTACCTAGCCCTTGACCTGCTAGACCGGATGTTGACCTTTAACCCCAACAAACGGATTACAGTGGAAGAAGCACTGGCTCATCCCTACTTGGAGCAGTACTACGACCCAACAGATGAGGTGGGCCAGACACCAGCAACAGGGCTGGTGGGTAGGTGGATGGGGGACCCGGCGTGAGCCTGACTTCTTTGCCACCCCAGCCAGTGGCTGAGGAGCCTTTCACTTTCGACATGGAGCTGGATGATCTACCCAAGGAGCGTCTGAAGGAGCTCATCTTCCAGGAGACAGCCCGCTTCCAGCCTGGGGTGCTGGAAGCCCCCTAGTCTGGACAGACACCTCTGTTCCTTGGGGCCTGGTGAGTGCTCCCCACTGCCCACACACAGATTCACCAATACCAATGTGTCCAGCACACCTCCATATAATCACAGGCTTGTTCACACCCATGAGTCAGGTGCATGGTAGCAACAGAAAGGCTAGAGCCTGCTCAGGCCACAGACCTGTGGGCCATCAATTCTTCACATCCCTCTCCCTTTCCCCCAGCCCTGAAGGTCTCCCACCTCGCAACACCCTGCACACTCCAGCTTCCATAGCTGGAGGTCCCTGAGGGCCCCTCTCCCCATCTGAAGACCAGAGCCAGGTGTGGACAGAGAGGCAGGTGGGGCAGTAATTGCCTTGGGAGGAGCCAGCAGTACCCAGCCTGTCCCAGATGCCAAGTTCCCTCACACCTGGTGCCCGGGTCAGTGGATCCGCCCACACAGATCTCCTTCCTCGAGTCTCTTTTCCGTCTTTCTGGCCAGCTGCAGCCTGATGGAAGGAAGGCAGACACACCTACACTCAAACTCCAGCCCTGACACTTAGTAAGAGCCATGTGACATGTACAAGACACCTCAGCTCTCTGTGCCTCAGTTTCCTGGGGAGTGTCCCAAGGACGAGAGCAAACACTGAGCACTAAGCACTGTTCTCTGGGGTTTATGTGCATTAACTCATTCCGCTCTCCAGCTGTACCCTGAGATAGGCATTGATGCTCTCACCAAGTATGGTTAAAGAACACAAGGCCCATCCCAGGCAGCCATGAGGATGGGATGAGGGAGGTGGAGGTCAGGGCTCCAGCAGGTCCACTGGTGGGTGCTAACGGTTCCTTTCCCTTTCCCACCTGCCTTTTTGTTTAGGCTCTGCCTCCTGCCTGCCCCTCCCCTGCCGGACTGTTAGGAAATGGACACTGTGCCCCACCCAGACCCCTGGTGGCCCAGGTCAGGGCAGAGGGTGCACCTGGCCACCTTCCACGGCTTGTTCTGGCCTCCTGCTCCAGGCAAGCCAAGGCTCCCTCTGCCCCGCCTCCCCTCCCAGGACCTGAGGGGCTTAGGTGGCCCCAAAGTAAATCGCCCTCTGCTGCTTGCCTTCGTCTACCCCAGCTATCCCAGTCTCTGGTAGTTCTGGAATGGGAGGGCTCTGGCTGCCCGGGGACTGACTGAAGGGTCGTGGGGGGATGGGGGACACTGACCCATTAAAACCCCACCCCGTTTTCCCTGAAGGAATATTCCTAAAGCTCCAGGGCTAGTCCCCCTGAGGAGCAGGGCCCAGGCCTAAACCCCCTCCCTCAAAGCTGCCACATCTAACACCCCCTGCTGCCTCTGTGTGTGGGTGAACAGAAGTGGAGCTGGGGGCACGAGGACAGCCTGGTGCCCCTGCCCACCCCTGTGCCTGTATCTAATATATAAATATAGAGATGTGTATATGATGGCCCTGGCTCTGTCTGTATTTGCCGACGCTCCGACCCTCACCACTGCTTTGAGGACTGATACACCTGCCCAGCCATTTCCCAGTTGTGTGGCTTCACCCAGTCTTGGTGATCTTTGGCTCCCCAGGATTGTCAGGAACACCAGACTCCTGGACAGAGTGGGGTCAATTTTCTCCTTAGTCACTGTCCTCTCCCTCTGTACTGGCTTCCTGTCTAACTGGCTGGGGGTGTTTTGGGGGTGACTCAGGGGCATCCTACACACCCCTAGATTCTCTGGAAATGGCTAAGGGTGGCTTGTTAGACACCCAAGCTGCAAACAGATGGGAGGGGGAGGGGGGAAGGTTGTAGCCAACCCAGTGGGGGAGGGGGTTTGTTTCCTGCAGTGTGGCCAAGGAGAGCAGGGTGCTGGGGTCTGTGAAAGGTCTAAAGGTGGGAGAGCCAGGGCTGCTGGAGTCTCTACTCCTGCCTTTCCCCCATCCCCAGCTGAGCACTGCAGCCTGGCCTGAGGCCAGGAGCAGGCTCAGCAGGTCCCAGGGGTGTGGTGGCGACCAGTGGCAGAGCCAGCCTACACCGGGTAGGCAGTCAGCAGAGGCAGCACAGTACATCAGGAGCGTCTGGGTTCACTCGGCGGGAGCCCAGCGAGGCAGCATGACCATGAGCCCTCTGCTGTACTATGCCCTACCCACCCTGGGCGGCTATGTCATGCTCTCCATCTTCTTCCTGCGCCGGCCTCGCCTGCTGCACACACCCTGGGCTCCAGCCTTCTTGCCGCGCCTGGGGGCCCACCGGGCAGGTGAGCTGGGCTCCAGTAGGAAGGGAGGATGGCGATGGTGACTACTGAGGGTGGAGTCGGGACAGCAAGGTGCCAGGGTGGACAGCAGCAGGGGAGGCCCCGGCAGCAGGCTATTAGAAAGCAAGCTGAGCCCCAGGGAGGAGGAGAGCCAGGTGGCAGGGCAGGATATGGAAGAAGGAAGAAGAGGCAGGGGATAAGGGGAGAGGTGGGAGGCCAGGCCCTGGGACCCATCCAGTTGCCCCACACAGGATCTGGAGAGCGACTGGAACACACCATAGAAGCCATGGAGAAGTGAGTGTACCTGCCCCCAAGCTGCAGCCTGAGGTGGTGCCAGACGCGCACTGCATGACACCAGAGGGCGCCACTCACTTCTTAGCCTGAGTGACTGGGGCCCCCTGGAGGTGTGCAGCACATCCTGCTGTGAGTCCTGCCCCCACACTCCCCTAAACCTCCGCACCACCCTGTGATCTGGTCTCCCCCTTTCCCTGGGTGCCCCCCTGCACTGACCTTCACTCTCATAGCTCCATGGCCCAGCGATCCGACTTCCTGGAGCTTGACTGCCAGCTGACACGGGATGGTGTGGTGGTGCTGTCCCACGACGAGAACCTGTCTCGCCAGTCAGGCGTGAATAGGGATGTGAGCAGCTTGGACTTTGAGGTGGGCTTTGCCTGGCCCCCCACAACCCCCAGAGAGCCACTATGCCTCCACTCGAGCCTCCTGGTCACTTGCTCCCTATTCTCCCCAGGAGCTGCCCCTCTACAAGGAGGAGCTGGAAGTTTACTTCTCACCAGGTGAGAGCATGACCTCACCAAGTGGGGTCATGTCCTCACCTCCTGCCCTCTCTTCTCCACTGGGACTCCGTTCCTCCCACCGGGTTCCCACCCCACCCCACCCATCCCCCTCTGATCCCTCTTGCACAACCCACCTAGGACACTTTGCACATGGGTCAGATCGGCGTATGGTGAGTCTGGAGGATGTGTTCCGGAGGTTCCCTCGGATGCCCATGAGCGTGGAGGTCAAAAAGGGAAATGAAGAACTCATTAACAAGGTGGTACTACAGGCAGGGGTGGGGGGAACCTGGGGCCGGAGAGAGGCCTGACTCCCCTTCATCATCATCATCATCCCTCCCCACACCAGATAGCGGGCCTGGTGAGGCACTTTGACCGCAATGAAATCACCATCTGGGCCTCGGAAAAGAGCTCAATCATGAAGAAGTGCAGGGCTGCTGTGAGTCCATGCTTTCCCTCCTCCAGCCACCCCTCCTCTCAGGAGCAGGAGGCTCCAGGGCAGAGGCTGGGCAGGTCTGGGGGTGTGTGGAGGAACTGACTGGCCCTGAGAAGGGTCTCAAAGGGTAGAATTTGGAGAGGAGAGATGCTGGAGAGAATGTGAGCACAGGCATGATGGTGGGAACTGGGGGGTTGGGGAGGAGGGGAGGGGTGCAATTAGGCCTGAACACCTGGCCAAGGTTATAGCTTTTTTTTTTTACATTTTTTTTTTGTTGTTGTTTATGATAGTTATACAGAGAGAGAGAGAGAGGCAGAGACACAGGCAGAGGGAGAAGCAGGCTCCATGCACCGGGAGCCTGATGTGGGATTTGATCCCGGGTCTCCAGGATCGCGCCCTGGTCCAAAGGCAGGCGCCAAACCGCTGCGCCACCCAGGGATCCCGGTTATAGCTTTGATCCTGCAAGTAGTAGAGCTTCTGAATGTCCAGCACTGTTCCCCCTGCAGCCCGAGCCTCCTCTCTGCTTTTCCAGAAGCAGACTGACCCCCATCTCACTTCCCCTTGCCTCCCAGAACCCCGAGATGCCATTCGCCTTCACGATAACCCGAGGATTGTGGTTGGTGCTGCTCTATTACCTGGGGCTGCTGCCCTTCGTCCATATCCCGGAGAGGTTTTTCATCTGCTTCTTGCCCACCATCATCAATAGGTACCCACAGGGTTCCTGTTTTCCTTCCGCATCCTCCCCCAGGTCCCCAGATGCTTCTGTCCTCAGATAAATACCCCACACCTCAAGCCCCAGCTCCCTGGCCATCCTCAAGGATAGCCCCCAGGGTCCTCTGAAGACAGTGGTTCTCAGCAAACATTCATGAATACTGAGCAGGGGCCCACGTACCCCTTGAATCTCTATGCAGATGTGTGTTGATGTGGATAGAGTTTAGGACAAAGTATTTATTTATTCATCCATTCATCCAACAAATATTTATCGAAATGTTTACTCTGTTCTAGGTGCAACTACACTAGTAAATAAGATGTGGGTGGGGTAAGGTCCCTGTCCCCAGTGAGCCTACACAGTCTGGCTGGGAGACAAATATTAATCAGTTATAGTATCATTCTCTGATTCTCAAAAGGAAAAGCAAGCTTTCTCCTGCTGGGAGACCAGGATTAACAAAGTAACAGCTGGGTAAAGTATCAGGAATTTGGATACTTTGCTAGCTCTTAAGCCTGGCCCCTCCCTTCCCTTTTTGAGAACTCTGTGGCAGCTCTAGTGCTTTCTTCTCCCCTCTGTTGCCCTGAGGGAGGTCTCAGCAAGCCCCCACAATCCCTTGCTACAAAGATATCATCGGGCTACTGCTCTCTGTGTGCAGAACCTTATATAGGGTTTGCAAAGTGTCTTCACATCCCTTAGCTGATGAGAGCTTTACCTTGAAGCAGCCCAGAAGTTACAGGAATCGTGACCCCCACAGTACCCCCGGAGAATCTGAGGCTCAGAGAGGTTCTATTATTTGCTCAAGGCCACACAGCTGGAAGTGTAGGGTACGAATTTGCCTGCCTGGGTCTGACTCCAGAGCCTGCACTGGGACATTTATGAAGGGCCCCTAAAATCATCCCTGATGTGGGCCAATCAGGACGATAAGCAGACCCACTGAGCATTGTCTGGCCTCAGGAAGCTGGTCAGGCCCAACCAGGGGACTTTCAGATTGCACATCCAGCTTGAGAATCGAATGGGCTCTGGTCTCAAAAACTGAGCTTCCTCTTTTGTAAAACAGTGAGGGGAAGGCACACTCTCCAAGTGTGCAGGCCTGGATGTCAGGGTAGAATCTCACCCAGCAGCAGAGGACTTGTTCATCTGGGGAGTTGCAAAGGTTCTTCTAAACCGGCCCAGGTAACACTGGCCAGGGGCCGCCAACACCCCACCCCTGTAACACAGTAAGATGCAGGGGACTGACCATGACACTATCTCTCTGCAGGACCTACTTCCCATTTCCCTGCTCTGGGCTGAACAAGCTGGCGGCTATGGTTTCCAAATGGTGAGGGGGCAAGGATGCTGGGTGGCATGTCCCCATAGAGACCTACCACTGCCCTTCTCCCTCGTCCCCTCTCATCACAGCCTTTGGCACTCGCTCCCCACCAGGTTAATCATGAGGAAAAGCCTGATCCAACACCTGGAACAGCGAGGAGTGCAGGTGAGGCTTGACCGTCACCCCCTCAGCAAGTGGGTGGTTCACAATGTGAGCCTAGTACAGCGTTCCAAGCACAGCTCTGCTACCAGCTAACTAGGTCACCCGGGCAGGTCACCTTTAGAGTCTCAGTCTTTCGATCTGTGAAGTGGGGGTCATGTTATATTTAACTGGTACCTAGCAATGGCTTGATAAGCGCCAGCCATTATGATGATGATGATGTATTGAACCTACTGTCCTGATTCCTGATGAGGGGGTGAGTGGGGCTGGGAAAGAGACCAGAGAAGGTAAAAACCAGCCCAGCCTCCTTCCTGCCCCTCTCCTGGGCATCCACTTTACCAGGTCATTTAATTAGCAGACCTTTGTTGAGAATGCGCTACAGTCCAGGCATGGCAGTGCCAGGGAAGGAGCAGGGAACTTACCATCAAATCAGGGACAGTGGAAGGAAATGAAGCAATCACAGGGCACCAAGTGGACAGAAAGGAAATAGCGCTGTGGTCTGTAGGGTCAAAGGAGGCCTTCAGGAACAAGTGAGGAGCTGGCTGGCAGGGAGAGAAAAGGAGAGCATCTTAGGCAAGAGGCTCAGCATATGGGAGAGCCAGGAGGAGCCAGAGGCCATGGCAGTGGGAGGAACTGAAGAGAGGTTCCACTGGGCTGCAGTGTGGAGGAAGTGGTACAAGGGGAGCTGAAGGCAGCAGTGGCTGAGGCAGGAAGCCTGTGAGCGTCAGTAAGGAGCCCAGACATCAGCCTAGAGGAAGGGAAGCTTTTGAGGACCTTAAGCAGAGGAGAGCCCTATCCAGTTGAGTTTGTGACTAAGGGTCACTCTGGTCATCATGTGGAGAAGAGACTGTGGGGGCCAGTGGAGGAGGCAGGTGCTGTCACTGTCAGGTGTCGGGCTTAGGTGGCAAGCAGCGGGATGGATGGAGGAGTTAGCTGACAGGCCAGGACTTGACTGCCCAGATGTAGGGGTGAGTGAGGCATGAGGATGACACCCCTCTTTCAGATTAGCCCCCCCCCCCAATTCTGAGGGTTTCCACCACAACTCTGGAGGTTGGATCATCATTTTCATTGGTCACATTAAGAAACCAAGAGATCCAATGACTTGCCCCAGGTACACATACCATCTCTCCCCATATCCATGCCCACAAGAGAAGACTCAGGCAGCAGGGAAGATGCAGAGCAGACTCAGGGAGACTGGGAGAGGTCCACAGCTGGCTTTGCAGGGGAGAAGAAAAGTGGCTGAATCTGAACCATAGATGATTTCTCTTGCATATGTACTCTCACCTTGTCCAATTTTAGGCTGCCAACGTGAAGTCATTGAGCACAGAGTTTGGGTAACATTTCCACCTTAAACAGTCAACAGATGTGACTAACCTCCAGGGTGTAGGTAATAGTAACATGTAGTAAAATAATGAGGAAGTGATGAGTTTTGAGTATTTATTACATTTTTAAGAGCATTTATTGAATTACAAATTTATATAACTTAGTATTACATAATGGCCGTGTTTAATAACCAACTTAGAAAATTCCTGATGATCCAACAGTCCTCTCCAGCGTCCCACTGCTGGGACGTCTCCACACAGAAGGGCTCCCACCATCTGGATGCAAGGGGAAGTTCTAGGTAAAGCTGTGTGAAACTATGAGCCCCTCCCTCCCCACTCAGGTGATCTTTTGGTGCCTTAATGAAGAGTCGGACTTTGAAGCAGCCTACAGCCTGGGGGCCACCGGGGTCATGACCGATTACCCCACAGCCCTGAGGCACTACCTGGACAATCACCGAGGAGCTGCCCAGGCCTCCTAAAAGCCCAGAAAACCTCACCCTCTTGTCTAGGTCTCTTTCCCAATAAATATCCTCTTTTGAGTCACAGCTTGGTGTTTGGGGGGCACAGATGGGACAAGGTCCTAGCCGACTGCAAAGATGGCCACTGAGGGCAGAAGAGGCCAGTCTATGGCCAGAGTTTGGGGCCCTAACCAGCCTGACTCACTAGTTCCACCACATTCCAGACCCAGAGTAATGCCACACCCTGTGCCAGCCTGGCCTCCACGCTCCTCAGGAATGTCCCTTGCAGGAAGGAGCAAGGCCTCTTGCCCCTTCAGAGCCACAGGTTCCACTCTCTTGAGGCCCTGAAGAGCCCCAGGCACACACAGCAAGGGACTTCATCTAGTCCTGTGGGCCTCTTCACCAGGCTGCAGAGGGTGGACATGGCCTTGGAGGCTGGATGCTCAGTGCCCATTGATTGGCTGCCTCAGCCTTTCCAACCCTCCATACCCACACCTAAGCCAGAAGCTCCCCCAAACTCCTCAGTCCTCTCCAGGCCTAGTACCTTATTCCCAGACAAATCACATCTCACAGGCATTTGTTGACTACTTTAGGCCAGGCTTCTTACTGGGGCCGCTGCAGGGGGGAAGACAGGTCTAGTAGGGTAGAAACCCGTGGAAACCCACAGCAGACCCCTAACCCAGCCTGCATAGGCAAGGGCATCATAGGAGGCTGCCTGGAAGAGGTGATGCTCAGCAGTAGGAACTGGCACGTTCTGAGGCTCCAGTTCCCAGAGGTCTAACGCGGATGGGTACCGTTAGCTCTCCCATTCCCAAAGAGCGGGCGATCGGACCAAAGTGAGAATCCCAACTTTGCCTCTTTCAGCCGTCATAACCTCCGGAGAGCTGCTAGACCTCTTTGACGTCTGCTCCCCTGTAAAATGGGAACAATAGCAAAAGCTGCCTCGTAGGATTGCTGCGGGGATTAAGAGAGTGGGGCACGGGCGGTGGTTAAACGCAGATAATTACGGCGATTATTTCCCCGGGGCGTGCGTCCAGACACCCCCCCCCCCCCAACCCGGCGCAGCTCCGGCACCGCAGAGCCCGGCCCCTTCGAAGCCCGCAGGAGGCCAGACGGCGGGCGGCCTCGGGCCGGCGGGCTGGCGGGCGGGCCGCAGCCGCATTTCCGGGCGGGCCGGAGCCGGGAGCAGGGGGAAGGGCAGCCCGGGCCTGCGCTGGCCGCTGTGTGACGCGCCCCCTCATTTGCATGCGGCGCGCCGATTGGCCACGGCGACCGCCCGGACCAGAGGCCGGCCCCCTCCCCCTCCCGCCGCAGCGGCGGCAGCAGCTGTCTCGGTGTAAACAAGTCGCGGCGGCTGCGAACCCGGGCCGGGGGGGACGGCGCCCACCAGGAGCGCCCCCCACTCCCAGGCCAGGCCACCCCGGCGGACTGGGCCCCCGCGCGCCCAGGCGAGGTGAGGCCCGCATCGTCAGGGCTGCGCGTCGCCCCGCGCCCCCGCCCCGCCAGCGAGGACTGCCCCCTTCCCCCGGCGCCCGCCCCCCACCCCCGCGCCCCAGGTGAGCCCCGGGGTCTCAGGTAAGGCTCCGCGACGCAGGTAAGAGACCCTCGGCACAGACCGGGCCTCGGCGCCCCCCGCCCCACCCCAGGTAAGAGCCCCCCCCCCCAGGTGACTCTCCACCTTCAGTGAGGGCCCCTCACCCCAGGTGAACGCCCTGTACTTCACGTGCAGCCGCTTCCCCGCCCCCCTCCGCCCCCGCCCTTGGCAGTTCAGGTGAGGTCCTAAGGACCATCCAGCTCCTCATCCCTCCCTACTTCCCCCTAAATGAGAACTGACAGCTCATCCCCTGCAAAGCCCCTTCCTCCAGCTTCAGTTACCAGGTCAGCAGGGGTGAGGCTGGAAGTAGATGGGTGACTCACTTCAGGCTCCTCCAAGCCTCAGTTTCCCCGTGATGCAACTTGAGGCCTCCTCAGTGAGTCAAAACTGAGCTGGCTTGGCCCCTGGAGAAGCTGCTGGCTCTGGGGAGAGAAGACAGCAGCCAAGTGTGACAGAGAGAGTCCCCATGGCCCTGGGTGTGCCTGCATGTGTGTGGCACAGGCCCTGACAGCCCACTCACTCCCTTCCCTGCAGGCACTGGGCTCCCTCTGCTCCCCGTGGGCTGCTCCCCGTGTGGGGCCACTGCCCCCAGCCCCCGCCATGGTGCGGATTTCAAAGCCCAAGACGTTTCAGGCCTACTTGGATGACTGTCACCGGAGGTATAGCTGTGCCCACTGCCGCGCTCACCTGGCCAACCACGACGACCTCATCTCCAAGGTAACCAGGTCACATTTGGGGCTAGAATGAGAGGCTAGAAGGGCTACCTGGCAGCTTTCCACCAATAGCCCTGACTCCCTTCCTCTCTCCCTCCCACCCTTTAGTCCTTCCAGGGCAGTCAGGGGCGTGCCTACCTCTTCAACTCTGTGTGAGTATTTGGTCCCCCTTCTTTCTTTTCCTGATCTCTGTCATGACCTATGACCCCTGGCATCATGCTGAGACTCCCAAAGTCCCCTGATTCAGGTTAGAAGATGTGATCGCCCTTCTCTTGGATACTAAGGACAGACACAGTTGGATACAAGCTAGAGGGGGGCTTTGTGATGGCAGGACCCTCCCTGGGACTGCCCCCATCTCCCCGCAGGGTGAACGTGGGCTGCGGGCCAGCCGAGGAGCGGGTGCTGCTGACAGGCCTCCATGCTGTTGCTGACATCCACTGCGAGAACTGCAAGACAACTTTGGGCTGGAAATATGTGAGTCTGTGACCTCTGACCCCAGACTACTCTTTGACAAACCTCACATCACCTCCTCACAAGCAGTCGTGTATTAATCTTTCAGAGCACACAGGCTCAGCTCCCACAAGTCAAACTGTTTTTTCATCCCCTGACTATGTTCTTTTCTGTCACATCCTGCAAGGGGTTTTTAGAATTTTTCTCTCCACCCATCCCTCTCCTCACATGCACATGCATCCCCATTTTAGAGATGAGGCCATCATCAGAATGACCATTTATTGAATGTTTATGGGCCATGCACTCTGTGTGCTTGCCACACATTATCTCATTCCATCATTACAACAATCCTGTAGGTAGAGTCTATTATTAGCTCCACTTTACAGAAGAAAAGAAGGCCCAGAGATGTTAGGTAACTTTCCCAAGGTCACACAATGGTAAGGAACAGAATAGGGACCAGAATCCTGGTTGTGGGTTTTGTTTAACTCCACATCTTTGACAGCCAGCTTCCACTGCCATTCAGAGGTTCAGAGAAATTGCCCAAGAACTCACAGTGACATGGAGCTTGCGTCCATGAGCCTCATTTTCACTGCCCTCCTTGCCAGAGCTGCTGTCCAGGGTCTGATTTCACTACCTTGATTCTCATTTCCTTATCTGGCAGTGGAGGATAAAGCCATTACCTGGCACCCAAAATTGTTATGGGGATCAGATTAGATGCAGCAAGAGAAGATGCTCTGGGGAAACTGCAAGGGACAGGATTCTTCAGGCATCACTTGGAGCTGCAGTGCCTCTGTGGGGTGGATGCCCCAGACAGAGGCAGGCAGGGTGCCTAACCCAAGTTCACCCTTGCCCTTGCCACAGATTTGCTTTGCATCCCCAGACAGGTGATTTGACCTCTCTGGACTTCTGTCAAATAAAGCGATGGCCTAATCCAGAGGCCAAAAACTCAAGTGCTTGCATCTGGAGAGGGAGGGGCCGGTCTGGCAAACTGGAGTAAGCCTGGCCCCCTATATTTTATTTATTTATTTATTTTTTAAATTTTTAAATTTATATATGATAGTCACACACAGTGAGAGAGAGAGGCAGAGACATAGGCAGAGGGAGAAGCAGGCTCCATGCACCGGGAGCCCGACGTGGGACTCGATCCCAGGTCTCCAGGATCGCGCCCTGGGCCAAAGGCAGGCGCCAAACCGCTGCGCCACCCAGGGATCCCCCACCTATATTTTAGTATTTTAAAGTTATTTTTACTAAACCCTGCTGGCCCAACAAAACACACGCATAAATCAAAACTGGCCTTCAGGCTATCAGTTTGTTGTAATCTCTGGGTCTTTAAGAAACTTCCATATCCTCTCTGTTGGAGCCAACATTAGTACTTAAAAAGTCCCGGTAATTCAGAGTTTTGTCTGTCCCATTAGTGAGAAGCCTGGCTCTGTCATTTCCCAGCTGTGTGTCTTGTGGCCAGGTGGTTTGGCTTCTCTGCATGACAGCTTCCTTATAAGTAAAATGGAGCCAGACATACCTGCTCCCCAACCCTAATCTCTTTTTGGTAAAGCCCTTGCGCCAGGGACGATGTCCTCTCCCCTCTTTTCAGGAACAGGCCTTCGAGAGCAGCCAGAAGTACAAAGAGGGGAAGTACATCATTGAACTCAACCACATGATCAAAGACAACGGCTGGGACTGACCCCTGCTCCTGCCGCATGTGGCTCGAGCCTGGCCTGGCCGCCAGAGGGCGCCACTGGCTTCCCTCCACAAGAAGGGAGCCCTGGACCCTCAGGGCCCCCGCAGAGGAAGGATCCAGCTCCTGTACATATATTTTATTGCATGCACTGTGACCTTGGGGGGAGATCAGAAGGTGGACGACACCCCCGCAACTCCCTGCGATCTGGCTGGCTTGGATCTCGTTTTTAACCCCTTCCTGCCCCGCCTGCCCTATAGATATGGCCTGTGTGCTGCTCCCCCGGCCTCAGTGCACCGTCTGCCCTGTGAACTCCCCCCACCGGGCCCCTCTTACCCCACGCGTGTCTGCTCCCCTCGTTCTGTAGCGTTTGTACATAATAAAACAATGAAGTGGAGACAGCCCCAGGCTCACGTGGAATCCGGGAAAGGGGACTCAAGCATACAGACTCCTCTGTAGATCTGTTCTTTTCTGGGCCCCCACATGACACGGGTGGGCGCCGCGGTCAAAGCGGCAGTCTGCGCTCTGGGGGCTCAGCCATCTGAGACCCAGGACCCGTCTCCCTGCCCGTGGAACTTCCCGACACCACTCAGCCTGCCTAGGCCTTGACCTCGGCTGATCTGCGCCTTCTCAGCTCTAGCGTTTGGCC